TGGTTCAGTGCTTAGCTGTGGGTGCCTGTTTCTGCTTCGAACAGCTACTGGATGAAGGCTCTAGGAATGGGAACCAAGGTAGACATCTATCTAATTATAAGGGAAGGGCATCAATGGCATCCTCTCCACCACTGTCTGGCTTCTTAGTTGGGGTCATCCCTGTGAATCCCCTAACATTTTCCCTGTGCCAGACCTCATGATTCCTATTTGTAAGGAAGCAGATTTCCCTGCAACTAACTTGAAACCACAGGCTAAGTGAGTAAAAATGGTAGATTTTTTTTCTTTTATTTAAAGACACCAAGTTTGATTTGCATTCAAAATGGATTAGAAGATTTGGGTCTGGCTAACTGTATATGGACTGGCCCCTGTCACTTTTTAATAGATTCAGAAACTGTATAAAATTTACTGTTCTCAGGTCTCTGAAATATTAATGGTTGTCAGCTTGACAGCATCAGATAGTCAGATCCACAAGACTATAGTAGCTTGGTAGATGATTAAAAAAAATAGTGACTACCTACTCTTCAGTCACAAGCTCAAGGATTTTAGGTTTATTTTGGTTGTCATCTAAGTAACTTAAAGGGCTTTTCATCAGGCCAAATGCACCTCTGTCCAAACCATACCTGGCTCTCTGGACAGAAGACACATATATGTACATGTTTCTAGCCCAAATTTATAGTTTTTGCTAGGACTCAAAGTTTTCACTTCTGTTCCCAGTTTAAACATTTCTTAAACAGGTTTCTGCTCTGGCAGTCACACCTGAGTATCAGTTGCTGACTACAGGCCTCTCCTAAGGACTGTCATCCCTGGACATGCTGTGGATGTGAACCAGTACAGATGATGTGGACACCCCCTGTCTTTGCAACAGAATCTACCAACCAGCTGCTCCTGATGGATACCCCATTGTATATATTCTCTTTTTGCTTTTTCAAAGACTTTACATTATTATCTACATACATTTCCTTTAACATTTTGGTCAAAATGGTTTTTCTACCTCACACCCCCCAGAGAGGGATAGCATGTTGATCACCGGAACTACAGATTTAGATAATTTATCTCATGGAACATACTTACTCTACAATCTTTACCCATCAACTCTGACTTACTTTCTGTTGACACAAGCCTGCCTTTACTTTTCATTTCAAATAATTTTAACAAATAGTACTTCCTGAAATTTAAAAGCTTCTGTATAGCAACAAAGAGATGAACAACAGCAAAACAACTTAACTATACATTTGAGACATGATTAGTATATAGAATATACAAAGAATTAAAGTAAATACACAAGAAATCAAACAACCCAAATAATAAGTTTGCTATCAAAATGAACAATATGCAAAAGATGAAATATAAAAACCCAAAAGAGAGGAAACCATTTCAACTTCAGAATTACATTGAGATTGTATCTTAGTGCAATTATGATGCCATTTATTATAAAAAAAACAGCAAGTACTGGTAAGAATGTAGACAAAAGGAAACACATTGTTGTGGGACTATAAACCAGTCTAGTCATCATGGAACCCAGAGTAGTGATTTCTCAAATTACTAGAATCAGAGTTGTCATATGACCTATTTGCTTTACTCGAAGGTGTGTAGCCAGAGGACCCATGTCAACCTATCACACAGATACTTAAAAATCATTGCTTACTATGGACACAGCTAACATAAATGAGTTATAGATACAAACAAGCCCATGTGTTTAACAACAGAACAATGGCTAAAAGAAATCTGTTATAGATACACATTGGAACATTTTCAGTCATAGTGAATGAAGTATGCCATAGGTAGGAAAATGTGTTTAACTGGAGGTAATCCTACCAATCAAATTAAACCAATATCAAAAAGATCTGTCAAAAATAAATTTAAAGACTCACAAAATAACAAATGCTTTGAATAAATAAGTTTCATTTTTCATTTAGTCATCTTTTTTGAGTTTTTGTCCATGAACCTGCGGTCTCTTCACTTCACTATTTCTGACCCTGGCATGCTTGCGTCTTCTCTCATGCAGCATGAAGCATGCAGTATGCAGCATGCACTGCTCCACTAGAAGCTCCATGTTGAGGTAAAACTTTTAACTGAAAGCAACTATCACATACACTGCTCCTTAATACCTCTAAATTAAAAATATCATTGCATGAATAAAAATGCCAAGTTTTTCAGACTTACCTCTATCCTTAACACACAGACCATACCATACCACATCAAACACACATACATTCACCATACACACACCACAGACACACATCCACACACCACACATCCACACATCCACATGCACACTCACACAATACCACACACATATTCATTACACACACACACACACACACACACACACACACACACACACACACACACACAACGTGTGTAAACATATATTAGGCTTTGTTTTTATCTATTTTCTCTTATACCTCTGAATTTTCTAACAATTAAAAAATGAAAACACATTGCAATTATTCTGGTGAATTCGGACAGTATACAGTGTGAGTTTCAATAATGCAAATTGTATAGCAAAATTAGAAAAATAAACAGGGTTATACACCTTCATAGTTAGCATTGTTCCGAAGAAAGAATTCTCAATAGAAAGAATTCAATACTTGGTTTTAAAATCTTGGGTCTCTAACTGTGGTGCCAGAACTCTTTAGTTAGAAAAGTTAAATGTAAATTTTGACTTATACTGAGGTTACATGACATTTGTCAAAGGTTGTTTGTATAAGTGAATTTCTGATTAAAATAACTCACTTGTGTGTTTGTGAATATTTATGATTGGCATATTTCAGTAATACTTGTCAGGTAATGAGTAAGTACATGGAAATTTAAAGAACATTGGGGATGAAAACATTAGCTTATAAACAATTTCTAGAAAACAGAGTTCTTTTAACATAATGGACTTGAAAACTAGCATCTCACAGCAAAATTATGGATATTCTGGGCCAAACATGAGGATTAGAGCTACTTCAGTGACTTAGCACCATTTATGTCATATATTTTTAGTTGTAACTTAGTTAAAACAGAAAAGGGAATAGCCTATGGGAGAAAAGAAATAAAACAAAATGGTAAGAAAATGCACATATTTCAGGTACAGGGTTACATATTTTCCAAATATAACCTCAATTATTTCCCACATAAATACTAGGAAGGATTTAGTAAAACCTTACAAATGAAAACACTAAGACTTCAGAAAGTTTCAGGACAGTGTTTCAGCTTTTAAGGCAAATAATAAAAAAGAAAGAAAAGAAAAGAAATGGCTTAAAAATCAATAAGATATTTCATGATGCCATTGTCTTTTATAACTGAGTAATATTCTATTGTGTGGACTCTTTTGCCATTTGCTACTACGCTTTCTTTATCCATTGATCTGTTGAGGGACATGTAGATTGTTTCAGGGTTCTGAATATTATGAAAAACCCTGTTGTGAGCATAGTTGAGCAAGCATCCTTGTGGTATGATTGAGCATCCTTGGGGTATATTACCAAGATTTGTATAGCTGGATTTGAGGTAGGTTGGTTTCCAATTTTCTGAGAAATTACTGTATCAATTTCCAAAGTGGCTATACAACTTGCACTCCTACCATCAGTGAAGGAGTATTCCCCTTACCTTACTCCACATCCTTTCCAATATAAGCTGTCATTAATGTTTTTGATCTTAGCCACTCTGGCAGGTATAAGATAGTATCTCAGAGTTATTTTGATTTACATTTCCCTGATGGAACAACTCTTTAGGTGTATCTCAGCCTTTCAGATTCTCCTGTTGATAATTTGTTTAGATCTGTACCCCATTCTTAAATTGGATTATTTGTTATTTAGACGTCTAGCTTATTGAGTTCTTTATATACTTTGGAGATCAGCCCTCTGTCAGATGTGGGGTTGGTAAAAATCTTTTTCCCATCTGTGGGCTGCCATTTTGTCTTATTGACAGTGCCTTTTGCCTTACAGAAGCTTTTCAGTTTCAGGAGATCCCTTTTATTAATTGTCAGTCTCAGTGTCTGTATTATGGGTGTTATATTCAGGAAGTAGTCTCCTGTGTCAAAGTGTTCAAGGTTACTATGTAAAATATTTATATGCATGTAGTGTAAACTATGCTAGTCTAAATACCAAAACTATAAAAGAAATGCAAATATGTCTGCTTCTGTTCCTTTTAAAATAAATCAAACAGATAAAAATTAATGGAAGCAGACTTTAAATCCAGGTGGCTCTTGACTCTTGCCAGTGAGTTGACAAATTATGGTGTATTTAACTGTGAATGCTCACCTGATTTGGGCTGAAGATCATAGATAAAGGAAGAATGAAGCTTATCTGACATAGGGGTATGCACTTAAACAGGTAGTCAAGGATGTGGAATGAACCAAAAGATCTCAAACGTAATTGTTTATACTCTGTGGGATAGAAATAGTTGGTGAATACACAAGCCAAGCAGAAAATAATTTTAAAAAAGGAAAAAAGAAAAAAGTTGTTTCTAACCAGAAAATATTCAAATCAGCAGGAGATGACACTGAAAATGTATACAGAAGTCTTAGAAATGATAAAATTCCTAATCAGACTTTAGTAAACTCAGTAGGCAAGGCCATCCAAAGAACAGCTAATGAATTATTAAAGTGAGACATGGCCTTGGATTAAGATAAAAAGGAGCTGGAAGATGATATCTTCTAGAGGACATAAAACAAATGTGACAATCAGCAACTTTAAAAATACTGTGAGGATGTTAAGGGGGTGTTATCTGCTTCATGCATTTCTCTATCAATTATGCATCTTAAAGTAAACTTAAAGAGATTCCTAATTAAGCTCCCTGTGCAGCTGTCAGAGGACTTTTTTTTCTTTATTTAGTACCAAGCATAAAGTCTGTGATAAAACATCCATGATTGCAAATACCAAGTGAAAGAGCAAATGAATTAAAGATGTGACCATCATTCTAAACACAATTCAGGTAGTTTCGGAGTTGGTTTTCTCCATGATTTCAAACTTCTTAATTTGAAATTTTACACTGTCTTCTCCCTCCTTTTTTTCTAGAGAGGACATCTCTGCAGATATGATTTAATTGAAGGTGAGTAAAAAGTGTGGAATTATATAACCACAGGAAGGCTGACCTCATGGAGGGAGAGGACTGGGGCCTAGAATTGAGAGTCTAAGTGGTTATCTATAACTCTAATTTTCCATGCTTCACCAAGAAGGTATGCCTTGAGAGCTTAAGTGTAAAGAAAGGATAAGCTATCTCAACTGCAGTTTCTCATGAATAGGTCAAGAACTGGAGTCAGACTATAGAGGATTACTTTACAATATAGTCCTGTAAGAGCAAAGACTGGGGATCGAAATGGACCTTTCTCCAAGAGGGTACATGAGGAGAGGCAAGGACAGGCTGCAAGGGACCAGCATGGGCAAGAAATATTTTGGGAATAGTCTGCTAAATTTTGATTGTGTGTTGTAGAGGAATCTGAGCACACTTAGATGGTTCTCTGCCCAACCATTCATGCTTGAATATGCATCACCAGGCACAATTATTGGAAGGGGAAGTGGGTTGGAGTTAGAAGAATGTTGCTGTTTTACTGTCATTTGGGGGAGAATATTGGACAGAGCCCTGGTGGACCAGTAGAATCCTAGAGTCAGGAGCAAGGGAAGCAGGTATGATGACAATGTTAGATCTTCCTATGTCATTGTGGCAGATGAAAGCTCAATGTTTGTAGGAGACTACCAGAGTAATTTGCCAGTAGCAGTTTGCCAGAGTTCAATGGGATAGATTGTGTATAGTGAGGATAAAAAAGGCCCTGAAGTTAGTCCTTAAAATGGATATCCCTTTATCACTGCTGTGAAGCAAGTTGCCTTCCTTCAAAGCAAGAAATACTTATATTGGGGAAATAAGACTAAGGAATGCCTTAAGGAGACCCACTAAGTCTCAAAAAGTCCTAGTGTATGTCATTGGCAAGATCTAATGGCCACTTGATAATGCTCTACTAGAACCCAACTGTCAGGCAGAAGAGTTAAGAAGCACAGAGCACAAGACAGAAGGATGCATGTTTTGTTTTTGTTCCACTAAGAATGAAACACTTTGTCACAGAGAAGTCCAAAGGTATATTATATAAACACGAAGTATCTTGCTTCTAGCTCAATTTCCTATCATTTTTTAAAAAAAGTATTTAAAATTTTCCTCATGGGCCAAATTGGTGGCATTTGTTTTTAAAGAGAGGTTTGAAGAAAAGAAAAAGAAGAAAGGAAAGGATATTTGCTGGATTTTTTTAAGGAAAGCTCTTTGAAGCCTCCTGGGGCTGATCCACTTAAGCTCCACTAGCTAGACATTAACTTCACAGCTACACGAGCTTCAAACACTGAGATGTGTGGATTTTATTGTAGCTCACTGTGACAAACTGAACCTTTTACTTCAAAATAAAGAATAAAGAAAAAAATAACTCTTCCATCATGTCCTGGACATAAGACAACATAAAGCAAGGGTGATGACAGACTTTTGGGCTTCTCTGTGATCCTTAGTATTTTCAATTTTAATGGCTTTTGTTGTTACAGGCATTTCAAAGAAAAATTAGGAGGAATGTTGTCTACTTCTAGGCATACATAAGACTTTGAAAGTCTACCTAGAGGTTTTTAATTCTTAATGAATTACACCGAGAAAGTAAGTTGTTTAGTGTGAAAGATTGCATCATTTAAGTATTTGTATATTGACATTATTATATTATTATATTGTTTTTGGACAGGTTCTCACTATGTAGCACTGGCTGCCTGGGACTCTGAGAAAGCAGCCTGCTTCTGCCTCCTAAGTAGTGGGATTAAAGGCCTGCATCACTGCATCCAGCCTTTGAAGTAAAGGCCACTACTCAGACTTCCTCTAACAAACCAACAAATATATTTTCCCCACTATGCTCTTGACTACACTACTAATTTTGCTCCTATTTAATTTTCTTTTGTGTGTGTGTGTGTGTGTGTGTGTGTGTGTGTGTGTGTGTGTGTGTTTATATGAATGAACATGTCTGTGTCTGTGGATTGGTGTATGTATGTATGTATGTGTGCATGTGGAGGCCAAAAGTTAGCATTGAGTATTTTTTCAGTCACTCACAGGAGTGGTCTTTATATTTATTCACTTAAATTAATTTTTGTCTTCATTCCTGAGACTATGCTATCTTAAAAAATTATTGAGCCATGACTTCATAACATTTAAATACTTTTATTGAGATAAAATAATTAATAAATTTTTGGTGACAAAGAAAAGACATGACCTATTTAAAGTATAGCCAATGATCTTTTAAGTAAACTGATCAAGCTGTGCAACCATTACCATCAATCAATTATAGAATATTCCATTTATGCCTGTAATATCTCAGTACCATTTATTGTTAATTTATTAATTTATACTTGCCTTTCCTCTTCACCACAGCCAGGTTTTGATTCTGTAGATTTTTCAAAATATATTTTTTAAATTAAAATACATCACTTTCCCCTTTCCTTTTCCTCCATCCAATCCCTCCATGTGCCCAGTCCCTGACCTGAATATCTATCAAAAGGATGATTTCTTTTACTTTTTACTTAAATACACATCAACACACACACACACACACACACACACACACACACACACACACACACACACACACACCTACAACATACTGAGACCCATTTTTATTGTTGTGTGCATATGATTTGATTTCAGGCCTGACTATTTGTGTCAGATAACTAACTGGGGGCCCATCCTTTGGACAGGTTAATTTTAAACAACTAAATTATAAAATAAAATTGTAAAACTAAAATATATTACTATGAAATAATAATTTATCTTGTAGAAGGCCATGTCTCTAAATTCAGTTACTACCTAATTTAGGGTGGATAGGGTCACAACACATGAATTTCTTTTTCTTCTTCAAAAAGTTGTTTATTCATTCTTCTCTCATATATACACCCCTCTCTCCACTTTCTCCATTTCTCAAATCCTTTACCCCGGATCCACACCCCCTGACTCTTCTCCCAGAAAATAGGGAACCTCCCAAGGTCATTAGCTGAACATGGCATAACAAGATACAATACCAGGCACAAGAACCCACATCAAGGCTGGGAGAGGCAATCCAGTGGAAGATGAGTCCCAAGAGCTGGTGAAAGGATCAGACACACCCCACTCTTACTGTCAGGAATTGCATAAGAACACCATTACATATATGCAGATGACCTTGCACAGACCCATGTAGATTTCAGGTGTGCCCCTTCATTCTCTGTGACCTCCATGAGTCCTGTTTAATTGATTCCACATTCATGCTCTCCTGGTGTCCTCAACACTTCTAGATTCCACAATTCCTCTCTCTTTAATGGGGGTGGGTGAGGGGGTGGGCATGTGTATGTGTATGTCCAAGGGAAGGAACATGATAGAAACTTGCAACCTCTCTGCCTTAATAGTTGGTTGTGGGTCTCTGCATCTGCTTCCATCAGCTGCTAGAGGTAGCCTCTCTGATAATGATACTGGACTAGACACATATCTATGAGCATAGCAGACCATCATCAGTAATCATTTCATTGATATTTATTTATTTGTTTATTTTTTGCCAGTAGTGTTTGGTTCTGCCCTAGGTTTCTGGGTAATTTAGCCCCAGGTTCCTTGTCATTCAGGCAATATTAGACATGGACTCCTTTTGTGGCTTGTGGAGTGGGCCTCAAATTATACCAGTCATTGATTGGCTACTCCAACAAGTTCTATGCCACCCTTACCCTAGCACATCTTGTGGCTGGGTTGGTATCCTAGTCATACCACTGGAAGGCTTCCCTGGTTACAGAAGATGGTCAGTTTAGGCTCCATACCCTCCATTACTAAGAGTCCTTGATAGGGTTACCCCCTTAGATTTCAGGGAGTTTCTATTGGACTATGTTTCCACATCAACCCCACCCCCATGCCCTCCAATTACACTTGTCTCTACCCTTACTTTCTCCTTTCCTCTCCCCACCTGATACATCCTATTTCCATTCCCACCAACCCCTAGTCTACCTACAAAGTTTATTTTATTTCTACTTCCCAGGAAGATCCATGAGTCCCCCCTTGAGCCCTCCTTGTCACTTAACCTCTCTGGGTCTGTGGATTATTTATAGCATGATTATCATTTATTTAACAGCTAATATCTATAGTGGGAAATTACCAATATGGAGCCAAGTGGAAATATAAGGGTATTTAATAGGGAAAAGCCTTACTTACAGACTGACCTAGCCAGCTGGCTTGGCAGCGGTCTGTATACAAGCCCAAAAGTGAAACTGAAAGAGAAACGCAGTCCCCTGAAAGTCTCACTCTATGTCACCCTGACCACGCCCTTGCAAGTGTGGTCAGGCACACCTGTAGCCAGCCCCTAAGTCTTTGTGCAAATGTTCTAAGCCTCTTTTAAAATCCTGTTCTATCTGCACCCACCTCCTTTTCTGCTGCTCCTCCAAAGAGGCAGACCAGCATTTGAGCCTCTCCCTTCCAGCCCCACTCTCTTTTCCTCAATAAACCAACAACCTGAGAGTTTGTTGTATGGTGTGATTCCTCCTTGCCACAGCTACTCCAACAATAATTATTTCACATGAGTTACCATTCTTTTAGAAAAGTAGTGATATGTGCTTCCAACACCTAATTTGTGCACCTTTTGAAAGGTGGGGTTGAAGATTGATTGAGATTCTTTTCTAAAATCTCTTGTATTCAGTTGGTGAAGCTTGACTTTATAGTTTCTGTTTGAATTCCTAAAATTTTCATTTCCATTCCCTCAGTTTGTGTTTTATTTATTGATTCTATTTCCATTTTCAGACATTGAAAAGTTTTACTCATTTTCTCCAACTTTGTGTGTGTGTGTGTGTGTGTGTGTGTGTGTTTATTGGTTTTCTTCAAGGGATTTATTCATTTCCTCACACTGTTTTTTCCCGGATTTCTATGAAGGATTATTTCCTGTTTAAGAATCTCTATCACCTTCATATTGTTGGTCTTAAGGTATTTTTCTTGTGCTGCAAATATGTTGGAATTTTCAGGGCCTGCTGAGGTAGGATAGCTGGGCTCTAGTGTGGAAACATTGCCCTGGATGTCCTTGTGTTTTTATGCTGGTGTCTAGGCATCTGTGTTTGAGATGATTTGAGGTTTGATGCTGATTGACTCCTGGAGATGCCTTTGTTTGTGGGTGTATTGTTCTTTGCTTCTTTTTATTTTCTCTCTGGATTTTCAGGAAGTATGATGGTTGTTGGTTGCCTGTTTTCCTTGACTGCTCAGGTAGTGTTCATAGGAAATTCCCAGTGATGTTGGAGGCTGGAATACTGGCATGAGTTGGGGGAAGGAAGGTGCAGGAGAAGATCTTTGTGATCCATTGGGAAAAAAGAAGAACACAGCAGATTTCTTCCTACAGGGCTGGGTATGAAACTGGGGGTGGGACTGGGGGTTGTGTCTCAGGAGCATCAGGAGAGAGGTGTGGGTCTGTCTTCAACATATTTGTTGCCCTGGCAGGAGCAGCCCTTGTGTTAGTAGGGGGTACATGCTGGATTTGGGGTCTGGACCACAGCAACAAGTGGGTCAAGGAAGGGTTAAAGGGGAATCTGTGGGATCAACAGGAGATAGGAGTGGGAAAGTAGGGGTGGTTGTCACATGTGCTTGGGACAAGAGGGGCATTGGAACTGGGGGGGGGGGAACAGAGAAAGAAGGGGAGGTCTTTGGGAAGCCTACCTGTATTTCTGGCAGGTGTGGCCTGTGGGTAACCAGGGAGCACCTGCTGGTGGTAGGGGCTGGGATAGAATGACTGGTGGGAGGAGGGAGGTTAGAAGGGTGAGATCTATGGGATCCATAGGAGATGGGAGTGGAAGTGGGCAGGTAAGGTTGCCAAGGAGGTTCTGCTACAGAGCTGGGGAGGAGATTGGGGGATTGGATCTGGGAAACAGCAAGAGAAGGAAGGTCTATGGCCAGCCTACCCGGTTTTCTGGCCCAATGATGAACTTGTTAGTGCTTATTTGTCCCCAGCATCCTACCAAGAAACATGATGTAGCTAGTACCAGTTTGTTACATGATTACATCAACAACTTTATTTACACTCACCATTAGTAATTTTGTTTCTGTGTACACATATATAATGCGTATGGGTGTAGGCTTGTGTGCCCTGGATTTTAAGGATATAGTTCTAGGTTTTTAAACATATGCCAAATGATTTGTTGGAATTTTTCCATTTATTTTTATACTATGTAAATGGACATTTTTGATTTATATGTATCTGTGCACCAATTGTATACAGTGCCCATGGAGGCCAGAAAGTGGGCACTGTATTAAGAAAGAAGTTACAGACTGTTGTGAACCACCATATGGGTGCTAGGAATCAAACTCAGGTCCTTTCAAAGAGCAAACTGTACTCCAAACAGTTGAGCCATCTATCTAGACCCATTTGTGGGGATTTTGATCACATAAGAAGTTAATATAAAGATTGTTTTTGTCCTTCAATAATTATAAATAGCACACGTTTTCTACTTCTTTTTAAAAACAATTTTACATTTGCCATTTGCTTTAGTCTGACGTTTAAGAAACCTGAATTTCCAAACCTGTTTGGAAAACAGCGTCTTTTTAGAAAATATCAATTAATCATATGTATAAAAATAATAAAAGTTTAGTTATCTATGAAATTAGTTTACTTCCTATAAATCACACTGCCTACTCTCTACTATGGGGTTTTTAAGTCCACTGGCTTGCTTAAAGATTAATGATAACTATATCATTGAAACTATCATTGTCATAGGGGATCGCATGATTTTGTTATTTCCCCTTGAATGTGAAAAATGATGCACGAGCTTGTAAAGCCTCATTTTTGCTTTATTCGCTTGGTTCAGCTTTCTTAGACAACAAGTTCAGTTCAAAATTAATCCTTTCTTTTAACAGCATCAGCTATAGCAAAGGGAAAATGCAAGCTGGGGATTGTTCTATTGACTTATATAAGTGT